AAAGAACCACATTTGTTTCATTTCAATTTGCCCAAGTCATTTACATAATTGCTTTATGATTTGAGTATTTTGGTTGCTTGGTGAATTACTTAACATGGATGGATTGTTTGTTTTATTGTATTGTGAATTAAAAATAAAGTTTGCTAGAGACTAGCAAAACTCAAGTTGGGGGTGGGGTGTGATAAGTATAGAATATTGCATATCTTAAATCTCTTTTGCATCTTCATGCCTTGTTTTTGTGGTGAAAATTGGGGAAAATATTTTTAATCTCACATTTAATGGAGTTTTGTGTATTTGTAGGTAAAGAGTAGGTAAATGCATGCATTTAACCTCCCATCAAGTGCTTGAAGGCAATGGGGGAAGAAGGGTGACTTAATGGATGATGCGGGACATCAACAGACCATGAAAATACCAAAACATGAGAAAAATTACCGATAGAAGTTCATCAAAACCTACTGATAGGTTCAGTACACTGGATGTCTTCTATTGCAACTTTTGCCAACACCTACCAGTAGGTTTTACATAGACTTGTCAGTTGCCTGCCACACTTCTCCACCTTCTCTGTGGGCCCATCCCTGCTCATCTAGACCATGCCCTAACACATTTTACAACCCAAGATGATCTCCTAGAACAAAAATATCTGGTTGAAGAGGAGAAAGGAAGGAAAGGGAAGATAAGGAAAAGGAGTGGTTGGGGGAAAGCATGGAAGAGGCACATTGGCCTATGGTTGCTTATGGTAGTGTCCATACTCCCTCCACTCATTACACTTCAGTTTCCACAGACCATAGGGGGTTATGAACTAAATCGAAAGCTTTATTACACAATTATTCAGCTACACACATAGTTTTAGAGAGAGAAGCTCAAGGAAGAAGACAAAGTTGGAGAGAGAAAGCTGGGTTTTCATATTTCTTTACCATTTTCATTGTTGTAAGCTTTAAATTACTTGTAATTATTCCTTTTTTCACTTAAAACTCTTTTATTCAAGTTGCTTGCTACCTTAGCTAGGCTTTTCTAGTATTTCAAGTTATATATTTGGGTATTAGTTTCCAATCTTTGTATGTTGACTATGAATGTCATTTCTATTGTAGTTTAACTTTTTCTTGCATTAATACAAGTCCATGCTCCATTTCTATACCATGTCTCTTCACTTTGTGTTGGGTTTTGTTTTCATTATGAGTAGTTAAGCATTTAGTTGGCTAATCTAAGGGGACTTTCCTCTTGGGTATGCAAAATTGACTCTCTTTCATTTTTTCTCGTAGTGTAAAGTGTTTGATTTAACTAGGTTGAGTGTGGATGTGGTTGTGGACTCTTGATACACAGTAGAATTGTCACGGGATATACTTGGGCCTAACACATCCACATTAGTCTTTTACTTCCTACGAATCAATCAAACATTGAGACACAATTGGTGGAATGAATTTAGTTGATTTGGCATTCACATTGGAATGACCCCTATGGATTAGCCAACACTATTTTCCTTGCATTTTTTTCATCGAAACACAACTCATCAAAACACAAATTCCACAATTTTCAAATTTTAATTTGTTCACTAATCACCTTTCAAAGCAATTTGACCTACATTCCCCAAGGAGATGACCTTGGAATACTCATTCCAAGTAAAACATGACATTTGCAAGTCTCTCTTCGCTAGGGGAGCACTTTTGCACACACACATGTATTTTTGTTCACACACTCAATTTTCTCCATTTCTTGCATGATACCCGAGGGAGAGTGACACTCATCTACTCACATAAGCAATATACACATACTACGGGTTTGTGTTTGGAGATTAGGATGAACGCGACAAAGCAACTATCACTAAAGCTACCTTCACCACTTAGGCCATACATTAGGCTTATAAGTCATATATACCACAAATGCTATTCATCTGCCATCAAGGATATTTTGCACAACACAAATGTTATCACAAGTCAATAATCCACAAAATCATTCTTTAATAATGAATTGGCATACTATTTACATTATCATCTACAAAAAATAGCACACTTACCTTAAGTCCAACTATAATTCAAAACTAGTCCTCAAACAAGACTTTAGGCAAATCTGACGTTGGCGTTGTCGCCTCCATTCCTACCACATATTATTACAAATCACATATAAATATCCTTTGAACATGCATTATGTTATGTATGCACATGTATAAATGCTCAATCATGCTTGGGTTGATACATTATCAATCCCCTCCCAAATTAATGTAGCATGACCACTTAAACTTCATTTGATAATTACCCTTCTCAAATTGATCAAGTTTGGAGGAGTTGATTTGAACTCCATTGAATACCCCCATGAAGTTTTAAGAATGGTCGAAAGAAGGGTTTAGAGCATCATAACAAAAATAGGAAATCAGACTAGTTGTATCAGTACAACTCCTACCGATTCAGCGATGTATTAGTATAGCTTTGTTGTACCGGTTTGTTCCAAGGTAGAATGCCTTTGAATCGATTCTAACTTAAACAGAATACTGTTGTACCGGTAAAACACAACTTTGTACCAATACAATTGTGAACTAAGGCCATTAAACTTGGTTCCATCACCTTCTACCACCATTTTTCTTCAAACCAACCTCTCCCAACCATCTAACAAACCACCCTTAAACATTTAAAAGCTTAAAAAAATACTAACTTAAAGAAACGATTTACCTTCAATTCGACCCATTTCTTTGAATTCACCAAATCCTCCGAGCATAAAAGAACCTGGGGTTCCTAGTTCTTCAACTAAACACCAACAAATAAAGAACTTGGATTTAACCAAAATCTATGAAAGATATGAAGAAGAAAGGGTTTAATTTGCTTAAAAAAAAAAGGAATTCTTCCCACTTGATGCCATTTTCGAAACCAAATATTTAAGTTTTCTTCCAAAACCCACCATCCCAAACCCCCCACAAATGAACCGGTATAAGGCAAAGAAAGTCCTCTAGAAGCCTAGAAGCTGCAACCCTTTGGCTAGAAGGCTCTACATGAGCAGGGTATCCCATGGCTCACCCAACTCCACCTTATTGTACGAAATTCCCTCTTGTTTCATTAATACATACAATTAATACTTAATTTTTCTGATTCACATTAAATTACATCCAATAAACTTTCCATTTATTAATTCAACACTCAGAAATCGTTAATACATTTCATATCTTACTTCTCATAGATCATTAATTATAATTTAACCCTATAGATAATATTAATATATTACACTTTAACCCTCTACATTATATCATATGTCATGATATTCATGTTCGGATCTCACAGCATACCTTAGATTTATGCTTTCTTGGTATTTATAATAGTTTGTACCCCTTTTTTTGGGGCTTTCTTGATTGGCTGTACAAGGTGGCACAAGTATTTTTTAGCCAAATCTTCCTTAATCTAGCCTAGAATCTTTCTAGATTTCCTTTCTCATTCGCTTATTATATAGGCCCTATTTAAAATGTTCGTTTATGATTAGGCAACTTCCTTATCAGTTTTATATCACCTCTAATTATTTGAGATAGCCTAGCTATCGCTTCGTTTTGTCTTATCCCTACTAAGGGTTATTTTGGATAAACTCTATCTCTTATCTCTACTCAATTCCATAACTTGCTCAATTCCCTTATTAACTAAGTAATTTGGTCATTTGCTTGGCTAGGTCCAGAATCTGCTCGATTGGCTGAACCCTAGCTCTAGCAAAGGCACTTTGCTTTGGTCACGTGCAATTTTTGCATGTGGCTTTCCATCACGTGGTTTATGACACCCTTTTTCATTTAATAGTAGAATCATGCGTAATTGTTCAGATCTCCTTCACTGCCAAACTATTAATATCAATAACAATATTTATAGGACAGTATCAGTAAAGGACTGGGCTAAACAACTAAATATGAGTTCAAACAAGGTCTTGGGAAGAAATATGCATCGTCCTCTATTTTTTATCAGTATTGCTAGATCTTATTATTGTAAGTTTAATGACGCATCAGTGTACAGAAGACACAAAAAAAATCAGCGTTTGTAAGTATAAGAACACACACACACACACACATACTCTGAATCCCCATGAAAGGAAAAATAAATTTTCAAAATAATATCTACATGATTTAACAATTCGTATTACATACAATAATATATATAGGAATGATCAAAACTCTAATCGTTCACATATTGAAAGCAAAAAATCTTAATTATGCGAAATTTACCGAAAATATACAATTACAATCTAACTAATTAACATAAAAACAAATATCGTCTGAAGTCTAACAAAACTTAAGGTACCGGATATTAAACTTACTATAATTTATTTTTGAATTATTTCGTAAATGATAAAAAGGATGTTTTGAGAGTCTAAACGAGGAAATTCTATCAAAATTGAAGGAACTCGTACCAAAACAATGAGTCTTGTTCATTTGCCCAATCTAGATCAAATACCACTAATCCCACTAAATTGTAAGTCTAACCCATTTTGTCTCTACTATTATTTTTTCGTTCTTTCATTGTACTTTTGATGCACAATAGTCTACCCATTTTAAGTAATCTACTATCAAGTGCTCTACATTGTTTAATATCTGGTAATAACATTGTAATTGGTTTGTTTCGCATTACCTTCGTATAAAAAAATCCACACCCCTAAATGTTTGCACACATCAGCCGCAAACAAATATTCAATTTCACATCAATGGGTTTGTTTGCATGCAATTTTGTATTTTCTTGACCGAGTCCGTCACATTGACCCATGACCCTTTTTGGTCCCGAGTTCAAGTCAGATTTGTTGAATTCAGACTGCCGCGTCCTTAAATTGCCGGTCTCGCAACTACCGGTTTCCTTTTGAATCTGCCTCCCTAAAGACTGTTTAAACCGTCGGGGTTTGACTTTGGGTTTGGACTTTGAGCTGTGGACATGTTACCACGGGCTAAAACTTCTAATTACAGAATACCCTTTCTAGTAAACATCCAAGGTTTTTTTGGGGATTAAGTGTAAACCAGTTAATTGTTTCACCTATATATATTTTATTTTTTAAAAAGGGTGCAATACGAGAACTTCGCAGGGGTCACCCATCCTAGTACTATTCTCGCCCAAGCATGCTTAATTTCGGAGTTCTAATGGGATCCGGTGCATCAGTGCTGGTATGATCACTCCCAATTGTTTCACCTATATAAACCTTATTTGAACTCTCCGGTCAAATTGACTATGTATTAAAAGATGTCTCTGTCTTTACTCCCATTACATTTGTTTAGGAGAAATCTTTATTACATGGACGCATCGCAAGTTTTACTGTTTGGAGTAGAGTCTAAATAAGGGTAAATGGTAGGCACTCGTGGCATACTTTGAAGAGATTAATTTCTAGGTCTATTAAACGTATATTATGCTAGCAAATAAGTATTTGTAATTGCTCAAGTTCTGACTTCTTTTCATACTACATGAAGAATACAAATATATTATGTATTTTAATACCTTAGACCATTCACTTAATTCTATAAATCACCCTCCTTTTAATATGGTAATATTGCTGCAAAATATATTTGTATTGACTAGTGTCTTGTTGCACAAACTTTTTGCAATGGCAATTTACTTTGAAGATAAGCAAGAAAAGTTATTGCATTTGCTTTTTTGTATTAGGATTTTTGCGCCATCAATCATTCTATTTTTCCCAGTAATACTTTTTTAAAGATTTTTAAGTAAAAGTTATTTATAATGATCCTGATGACCGTACAAAAAAAATTTTAAAAATAAAAATTGGCTTTATCTGGCCAATGTATGAAAGTGTTGTCAATAAAATATCAATTGTTTAGACAAAATTTGATGCGTCAATGACAAAATATTTGTACACAAACAAAATATTATAAAAAAGAAATGTAAATTTATTCATAAACCACTTGTTTTCTTAACAATAACAAGAAAAATAGTAATAATTTTGCTATTATGATGCTAATTGTATATATGTATGCATACACACAAACCAATCAATTAAGCAACAATGCACACTAATAGATGGCCCAACGCAACTTTGTTTAACAGTTTGCATAAGTGTGAGGATACTCAATGTTGTTTTACTGTTTTGAAAATAAATATTTTTTTGAAATCAGGTTCTAAGGATATTCGGCCATGTCTATAGGGTCCACAATGAAAAAAAGGCTCATCCACCATTGCGTGTTTTTTAAGAACGAAAAACCATAATCATTTAACGATTTTTAAATTCAACTTTGAGGCTGTAATTATTTACATAACTTGCAACAATAATAGGTATTTTTCATTATTAATATTGTTATAAAATTTAAACAAATCATTTGTAAACAAAATGATCATAGATCGATATTGTTGGGATCCAATCACTCTTTCTTTTACTCTTGTAAACAATCAATAGTTTTTATACTTTAAAAACATAAATCAAGATTTTTAGAGATCTCATAGTATTCTATAAGTTTCTATCTTTTAATCATCTGTTTTTATGCTTTATAGTGAGAATGGATAATTTGGGATCTCAAGGCCCAAGCTCAAGATTTTTGGAATTACAATATTTTCTAATTTGCTTCTAACTCTCACCACAAGGGACAAATTGGGATCACATTTTTAATCACAAATTTCTGCCACTAAATGTAAGATTTCTATATATTTGTGCACCACCAAACGGAGACAGAAATAGAAGATTTGAGACTCTCACACTCATGTTTGGGGTTTTTCGAGCTACAAGTTTATAATTTTTTAGTTTTGTGTCTAGCTTTTGCACTGGACATTGAATGGACGTCCTGTATTTTCCTTGAAGTTTCTATTATTGAAAAAAAAAATTTCACCAATTCTCATGTGCAACAGAGAGTGGTGGGGTTATTTCAGAGCCAAACATATTATATTCGAGTTACAAAATATATTTTACACACACATATATATATCTATACACTCCTAGGCCAGTTTGCTTATGAGATATTCGTAGAAAACTGATCAGAATATTGTTTAAAACTCCTATGATCTTCCTGGAAATCCATCTTCCTCAATTGGTGGACATTGAATGCATCTGCGCCTGACATAGATTATAATATTACATATAAATACACATTTCCATTTCGAAGTTATTCAACTACCAACATAAGACATAATTTTGTTCTCGGCACTTTGTGAATCTTGTTCAATGGGTATCTCACTTTTGTGGGTGGAGCGAACATCTACATGAGTTCCAGATCGACCACACACGCGCACGCCGCCTGCCACGACCTAATGGGGTGTGGGTGTAACCCAACCTTTTCTTTTTAAATAAAATTCATTTAACAAATTGGGTCCAAATTTCTTAACCCAATTTTAATTTATGTATATTATGAATTCAAAATTTGCACTAGTTCGAATTTTCGGTTTCCCTCCAATCCAAATGTTTTTAATTTGTGTTGTTCAATAAGTAGATATCAATAATGTAGTCTAGACTGCATTGTATCATTTGGGTTGCGTCTGCTCGCATTGTGGCTCCATATCATTCACCATTTTGTCTATAAATGACCACTAACATTAACATTCTGCATTACTTACTAAAAAAAAAAATATTAACATTCTGCATTAACTTCAAACTTATGTTTTTAGCTATTGAGGCAGTCATTACATTCAAAATTTTCAGTATTAGCAGTCTGTAGATCTGAGAAATACACAATTCTTGTTCGTTGGGCATTTAGATTGAAGTGCTACTTTTAAGTGTGTAAAGATTATTGTATCCTAGAATATAAACGTTTAGATTTCCATAAGCACCAAGTGTAGGTGCGAATAGGTCAGATCTATCTAAAGTTCAATCACAGTTCTTGTTTTTCAAAATTTTCAATAAATAATTTTACTATAATTGAAAAATACCTCCAAAAATTTTAATAAATAATTTTGCTATAATTGATAAATACCTACAGATGATGCACAGATTGGTCTCGTGCAAAATCAACAGTCAAGTGTGTGAAGAGGTGTAATTAATGGACAGTAAATAAGGTAAACAATAACAAAACGGTAAATATGAGTCAACACACAGATCTATAGTGATTCGGTTCAGGTTACCTACTCCACTCTCGGGAAACGGTAGTGATGGCCGGGAGTTTTTATTGATGAATAAAGTAACAGAGAGAGAAAACTCCGGGAGTTTATACTCTGGAGAGATACTATAGCTAAGAAAGATAAGCTATGTGTGTTGGTGTAGAGAGGTGTGAAGGTGTGTTGAGAAATGTCCAAAGGTGTAGAGATGTCAAGATGTGTGTTGGGAGATGTATCTCTCCATGTGGAGAGCGCTTACAATATATAGGTATGGTGAGGCGGTTAGATAAGGCGGTGACGTGAGTGTGAGGGCACTACTTCCTCAGGGAGGATAGTTACAAAAAGTAAGTAAAATTGAGATAGGATTGATCTTAATGAGTGCATATCTCACTAGTCTCTCTCCCACATGCTCTTATCTTCCTGAGCTCCTTAGATCTTGGATTGGGTCAAACTGATAAAGCGGGCTTGAACTGTCTTGTAGCTGACTTGGGCTTGCTTGATTTATTGGGCTTGTCCCAATTAGATTTGGGCTCATCACCTAAAACACTTTGTAGATATAATGGACGAATGTTGTATATTCTACTTCAAGATTAGTTGGTGAAAGTTGGAGAAACTATGGGAAGGGATCCAATAGAGCCAAATGACTAACCAAGCTGGTGAGAATTACCAAGTTATCGAAAGTTCGATACTCAACTCAAGCTATAAGCTGGCCCACTTGGCTTGCCTTAGCTCAAGCTATAAGGTCATCAAGCGGTGCCCACCCTTCAGTCAAAATAAGAGAATTGCTCCCTTATAGGCACATAACCCTCATCAATTAATCTCGATATCTGATGTGGGATTATGTATTTTGTCTACAACTCTAAATTGCTTGGTTGTTCCTATTTTTTTAATACCTTCCTATAAGGGAATCTCCAACCCTTATTTAAATTTAGACTCAAATTTAAATTTGAGTAAAATAGTCTAAAAAACTTACTCCAACCCTTGACTCAAACTTATACAAAATTAAGAGAAACTCATTTTTTTACTTAAATCAAGTGGGATTCAAATCTTTAATGGTGAGATTTCATCATCTTTTAAAGATTCAATGGTCATCCTTGCTCCTTTTTAAATTTTGGTTTGCCCTAATTTAAATTTAGGTATTTCTTTCTTTCAATTTGAGTTTGTCCATTGGAGTCCTTTATATCCAATCAAACTTTTTACTTAAATGTTAATTTAAATTTAAGTAAAAATTTGAGTCATGGTTGGAGATGCTCGTATACCTTTGAGCTACCTTTTTTTTTTCTTTCTAATATACTTTTTTTAGACACATTGTTACTTATATAATTTTATACCAAGTATTCAATACTTATTAGTGAATTTTTTTGTGCTCTATCAATGTGTATCAGTTATGTAAGCAAATTAATGAATTAGTGATATTTTTGCCTTTCTATTTCATTTAACTATTTTAATCTTTTATCGTATTTATTAATATCAATGTTAATAATTATTCTTTTATTATTAATGATATGATTGATTTAACTGATTGATATGGTCGAATCAATTACCTATGGACTTGATCTATTTGTCAAGTTGATGTCTGAGCTAATTTTAAAACTATGATTCCAACCATTGATCTCGCTTGTGTTTGATTAATAGTTTACAAAGATAATTTTATTCTTTGCTACTATAAAAAGTAACACTTATACCCTTGGTTCATATAGAGATCATAAGAGATCTCAAAAAATGTTAGAGGGATAATTTTGTAGTATTGCAAAAAAAAATTATGTTAGGATACGAAAAGATGAAAAGTGTGTGCAAATGTCAAATTGTTTTACACCTAAATCTTAAGAAATCTGAGAATGACACCTGTCAAGATGTAATTGACAGATTTTAGTTGGAGAAGCTCCAAGTGCGATAAGGCGATTGTGAGTAATTATCTCCAGCCAAGAATCTCGGAATACAAACAGATGTAACAGACATGACATCATGAAGCCACCAATTATAGAAAATTTTGACGCACATTGCTAGAGGTTGAAGGGATAGACCACGAACATTAGTGCCCCGAAAAAGAGGGATTCAACAGTCATACACCATTGCCTATAAATACATAGGCACATGTAAAAGAAGAGAGATCTCTCGATTAACACACATACAAGCAACATAGTAGA